AAGAAGGAAGGGTAACATTGTTAGCAACCTTCCATGGTGGCCCACAGCCTTTCTCACTTATTCACTGAGGGTAATTTTTTACTCATCACGCCTCAGATAGACTCCATGTAGGAAACAGCTACACATCCTCACATGACACAAAGGCTCAGCAGAGAAAACACATCTTAATCTACTGCCTACCACACCTTACAGTAAGGCTGGGCCATGTGGGATCTGAGATTGGGGCTCTGTTCCTGGTCCTGGCAAGGGAGGAGGAGGAGGAAAAAAATATCACCCACTCTTTCTCCTAAAATAGGTGCAGCCCACTGCTCAACTTTTGAGCTCATCGCAACCAAGATGCACTGCATGAATGTCCAAGAGATGTGCCTGGATTGCAGCAGCTTTGCCTACAAATGGAAGTTGGAAACTTGTTCTCCCAAGAGATACTTGGTTTTCTAAATCTAGTCCAGGTATCTCCCAAGTCATGCATTCAGCCGATCTGAGCTCTGATTAGGAAGAACTTTCATTGTCTCCAAGAGATTTCTTCCTCATGATACTCTCCTGAATCACTTAGGACCTGGTACAGGAAACACCCACAGGCACAATATTAGTGGCATTTGTGTTTCCAGCAAATTAACCATTAGCAACTGCCACAGTTTACAGTGGTGAAAAAGAGTCATTCACTTTGAATTCCCTCAGTATTTCTACACACATTTATTTTTTTTTTTTCCTTTTTGGAAGTCCTTGTATTATTGCAGTCATGGAACCAAGCATGTTTTCTCACTTGTCACATAAAACCTTCTCCAGTCAATGATAAATCCAGCAGAAACATTTTACAACTCTTGTTCAGTCTTCTGGGCAGGAACACACTGCACAGGCAGCTCCAGCAAATCAGTTCTTTCTTCATCCCTCCCAAGTAGGGACAGGTTAAATATGTGGAATTAGAGATGATCACGAGCGTGATTATTTTCTAGCCCCTATCCTGGATGTCTCCAGTTTAAACAACCCTAAAATGAGATAATCCTGTTTTCCTAACTAATTCTTCACCAGAGTTCTAATAGTGCACATCTGCCTTCACTGTTACAGCTTGGGTGCATGGTGACAGGCACAACAGCTGGTTTTATTACTGGATTTTTTAGACTCACAGTTAAACATTAAACAGCTGTGCAGAGGGGAGAATTTCAAAGTGCAGCTAGGAGAAGGAGAAGGGAACTAGAAAAGCATTAAGACTACTCCATAACAAATTAAGGCTTTCCACTGAGAGGAAGGAGTTTGTCACGCCCCTCTGTACACAGACCAACTCTAGAAGACCCTTGCAGCAGAGGTGGCTGTACTTCTCAACACAGCTTTACTTTTACAGCTCCACCTCAGTAATTAAGGCCTAAATCCTAGTTGCCAAGGAGAAAAAAGCCTGACTGCTCTCCTGCCTCAGGACACAAAGTGAAGTGTTTCTACACAGCATGTAGGAGGGCCTTCCCCCTCTGCACACACAGAGAAGAGACCTGGCAATGTATAAAAGCATAAGTGTTTCAGCTAGGTCACTTGGTCAGCATATAAGTACCCTTATTTTAATTTTACACACCCAGGAGTTGCACAGAAGGGATGTCACTTGCCTGTCTCAAATCAGCTCTGCTCCAGAGCCCTATGTCATATGTTCTTCACCTTGTATACATCTGCTCATGAAAAATCTCACAGGATTTGCTTGCACACCCATAGGACTTCCTTTGTGCATGCATACCTGTATCTCAAGGGGTAAGGAAGATGACGTGGGTGAGGAACATCCTCTGACATCAGGCAAGCACAATGCTTTTCAGAAAGTGTTAAGTCTCTAAAGCACTAAACAGGAATAACGGTGCTGTTCCTTCCTTTCTCTCATCCATCATTCAAACACCACTCATTTTCAGATGTGCCCTGGCAGCCATAACACATGAGCAACCAGAACATTTACAGAGGACTGACGGGTCACAAGCCAGCCCTCATGCCTTGTCCTTCGATCCAATATATCCTTTGCATTGTAGGCCCAACCTCATGAGAGGGTGGCAGAGAAGAGAAAATAGCAAAATTCACAGCAACAGAAAAACAAATCCCTGTCTCAGAGCCAGACCATCCCAGACCTGGATTTGCTTCAGAGGAAAGGTGATTAAACTCACCCATTGCAGACCTTCCATAGGGCTCTTTTTATTCAATTAATTTTCCTGTAACTAAGATTAATGGTCCATGTGATATCTGCCTCAAGGGATCAGAGGCTTCTGGCTGACCTGCCATCAGCACAGAGACAGGAGGAGACTGAGAACACCAGGAAGAGCTGAGAGCTTACAAGTGTCAGGCACTGGCAAACACTGGCTGATGGTCCACTCAGAGTTTGAGGCTAAAAATTGCAGCGAAAGACAAGAACTAATACACTGAGTTTTTGCAGGACTTGCGTTCCTTCAGAAGGTCCAATGACTACCCAGAGGACAGCATGCCCCTAAGTATCTTCACAACTCTTACACTAGAAAAACCTGCCCACAAGAGCACAGTCCCAGATTAAAATCAAGATTTCCACTACCAAGCTTCTAAACCTCGAGCAATCCTAATCAACAGGGAGATGCAGGACCACCAGAATAGATCAACCTCTGCCTCTGACCAGGCTGGCAAGAGGAGACCCAGCCAGGAGTCTGATCAGTTCAGGGCTGTGGCTGGGGAGGGGGGCTGCATACACCCACAGGCAATTATCCCAATTAGGCCAGACACCTTCTTGCAGGCTTCTGATGGTTCCACTCAGGAATAACATCTGTAGGGCTTCTCAGTGAGGAATCATAGAATGGTTTGAGTTGGAAGGGACCTCTAAAGATCATCTAGTCCAACCCCGCTGTATGGGCAGGAGGACATCTTCAATAGATCATGCTGCTCAAAGCTCCATCTGACCTGACTTTGAATACTTCCAATGGTAGGGCATCCACAACTTCTCTGGACAACCTGTTCCAGTGTGTCACCACCCTCACTGCAAAAAATTTTTCTTATGTCCAACCCAAATCTACCCTCTTTCAGGTTAAAACTGTTGCCCCTTGCCCTGTCACTATAGACCATTGTAAAAAGCCTCTCTATCCTTCCTGTAAGGCCCCCTTTACATATTGAAAGGCCACAATAAGATCTCCCTGCAGCCTTCTCTTCCATAGGACCTTCTCTATCCTCAGAACCTGTTCTGGGCATCCCTCTCCAGAAAGCCTCCTAAGACAGTTCATCTTTATGTAAGTGAGTTTTCTCTTCCAAGCTAGTCTTTATATCAGGTGCTGGCTGCATGGCCCTTTTAAAGAGCATTCATGGCAGCACTTGAAGAGTTCTACATTAGAAGAATATTAAGCCTCAAACCTGACATTTCCCTTCTTAGATATGGTCTTGACTAGATCGGTATCTCTGCAGAGATTTCACGTTCCAGCATCCAGGAACATGGAGGTTAGTCCACCAGTTTCTACTTAAACGCAGCAGTAGCCTGGACTGGGTGGCTCTTCACAGCCATGGGAATGGCCTAGTGTCTGAAAATAGCCATCAAGCCGAAGATGCATTTAAATACCTGCAAGCATCACCAAGCAGTCCTGTACTCCCTCCCTCCCTGCCTCCTCCCTCTCTGCTATCACTCTCATTCTCCAGAAGAGAACATTTCTTTGTGGAAATGTCTGGCAAAGCATACAACTTCAAAGGGACCATTAAATCAAATGAACTAGATACATTTTAGCTGAAGTCAGTACACATACTGTCTCTCCTAACAAGCCCCAGACAACATTTGGTCTGCCAATAGGCTCTCATGATAATACTCAATACCTGTAATACCTGAAGAAGCCTAACTTCTCTCACCACCAGCTTCTCTATGGAGGCTCATGCCCAAAGTGTACTTTTGACCTCCTGGGTTCAGTGGTGACAACCCAGCAGTTAAGTAATGCTGGGCGCAGTTGCATCATAGCCCTGACACACAACTCCTACTCCATAAATACCAGGTACATTTTATTACCTAGTAGCACACATAGCAGAAGAAAGATGAGCCTTTAAAGGTCTGGATCTTTTGGAATTTCTGAGTAGAGCAAAGCAAGGGATGATTAACGCCACCTCTCCCCGTTTCCCCCCTCCCCATCCCCCCATCATACTTTCTACCAACTCCTTTTATATTGAAGCATTAGAAATATAGTGTGGAAAAAAGCAATGTTTTCCATTTTCTCTTGTCCTGGGCAACTGAGGACAGGAGGCAAGATTCATTTGCCTGGTTCACCATCTTTTGGTACATCAGAACATCTCACCCAGCAACTAATGCCCAATCCAAACAATGGGGGCAGAGTTTCCAAGGTACCACTTAGCTACTCAAGATAAACACGACATTAAAAAGGGGGGAGGGGGGAAACCCGCAATAGCTAGGCATACATAAATGACAGGTTTCCTTCCCCCCAACTAACAGTCATGGCTTTAGCAGCCGTGCCCTGCTGCCTCCTCACCTCGCACCCCACCTGAGCAGCCCTGTCTCACCTCCTGGGCTCCCAGGGGAGAGCACCCTGATCCTACAGAAGCACTCAAGTGTGGAAAACGGTACTTAAAAAGGCTTATTAAATGTACACACGCCCCGTTTTTCTTTTGGTTTGAGGGGTTCTTTTTTAGGTAGTGCTATTATCCTCATAATTTCCTCCCAGTCTTCAAACCCGCTTTGCTGCTGGCAGCGCTGGATACCAACCCCGCCATCCGAGGGGTGCACCCACCCCGTGCCCTCGGGGACACCTCCACCCTCTCGCCCCGCGGCCCCGGGGCGCCCTGGCCGGGCCGAGGAAGCCCCGGGAGGGCGATGGGAGCCCGCCGGTGCAGTGCACCGCGGCTGGACGAGGACAGCACCGCGGGCGCGGAGGGAGAGCCCGGCCCTCTCCCGCGCAGCGGCGGAGCTGCGGCGGCGCCCCCCCCCCCCTTTCCCGGCCACACCGGCGGCAGGAGGGAGGGCGAGGGGGCCCTTCGGTGCGTTTCCCCGCCGCGGGGGAAGCCGGCGCCCCCCCGAGGGACGCTCCTACCTGCCCGGGCTCGCTGCTGTAGGCGAAGGCGTAGACCCGCTCCGCGCTGACGTTCACGGCGCCCCGGTAGACGCGGCCGAAGGCGCCGGGTGCGGGGCTGCCCCCGGGGCCGCCCCCCCCCCCCGCCGCCGCCGCCGCCGCGAGCAGAGCGCAGAGCAGAGCCCCGGGGGCCGGGGCCGCCGCCGCCGCCCCCCCCCCGGCCATGGGGTCGTCGCCGCCGGCCCCGCGGGGCAGCCTCACGCGGGGCAGCCTCACGCCGGCGGGGCAGGCGCCGAGGCGCTTTATTTGCAATTTAAATAAATAGCTCGGCGACGCGCAGAGGCGCCGGGGGAGGCGGGAAGGCAGCCCAGGACACCCGCCGCCCCTCGCCCGGGACGGGGGGGCGCCGAGCAACTTTTCCCGGGGAAGGACCCTCCGGCAGCCGGCCGGCGTGGAGGGGAGGGCAGAGGGAGGGAGGGGAGGGGAGGGGAGGGGAGACCGGTGGGCTGGGCGGCCCCGGGGAGGAGGGTCTCCTCCCTGTGCCCGGCCCCAAATTCTGAGCCGGCCTCGGCAGATGGTTGTCAGGCAGCTTTTCCCCTGGGGAAGCCGTGCTGTGAGCTCAGGGGCACGTCGGCACCGCCAGGCACATGGGGACGGCATCCACGGGGCTCCAACGCTCCCGGCCCGCCGAGTCAGGGGTGTCCTCGCCCCGCGCTCTGCCGGCTTGCTGGAGTGGCAGCTTGTACCTGCAATGCATCTCGCACAGGGCCATGCCCAGCCTTTATTTTCGGTCGCTCCTAACTTTGGGATATATGCCCTTGTCTTTTAGTTCAGTCCAAAGGTGTGAAAGGCTGCAGCAAAATGTCATTTCATTAATTCAGGCATGGCTTGCTGCATCTTACGTGCTTTGAGTCGTTCATGAAACTGCTACAAGCAATGCCGTGATAGTCAACCTTTTCAGCAAGGTGAGGGCGTTACTGTTTGGGCTGTGAAAGGGTCAGGGGTCTCTCTGTCACAGCTTACCCCTCTTGTGTTCTTCTGTTGAAAACACATCTGGGAAATGTGTCAGATCCCATGGTGGAGGGGTGTACTTTTAAGTCAGAGAAGACAGGGTGTTACTAGAAAGCAACCAGAAAGGTTTTTCAGACCGAAGATGAACTTGTAGAAGCTGCAGTTCTATAAACCCAGCCTGCAGTCTTCAACTGTGGTGACTTTGGCCACAGAAGCTTTCCAAGTTGTCGGTTTTGTTTTCAAGACAGAGATTTCCAGGGGGTCACTCATCATCTTTGGAGAAAAAGTTGCAAAGCGCAGCAAAATGAGGCAGTATGTGTTACGCCATCATTTTGATCTTCAGACCTTTGTGTGATTTCTGCCAAGAGAAAAAAAAAATGTTTTTTTCAGTGATTTCTGTGTTCATCTTGAAGCAGGCTGACATTCAAGTCACCCTGCCTTTTGTCAGAGTCCCAAGAAGTGGCATTAAGGGCAAAAAAAAAACCATGTGAGGTCTACTGGCAGGTGGACACTCCAACACAAAGAGTTTGCCTTTCAGCCTGGAGTATCATGTTGTGCAGACCAGGAGACCTGTGTAACGTCACCCCTGAGCTTTTGTAATCTCTGTCTTGCCTCTTACTGGGACACAGTGTCACCTGTCCTGGAGGACTTCAAGCAGTGGTGGCGCTGGGAGACTTGTGGCTTCCCCATCCCCACCCTGTAGAGCCCAGGGCTCCTGAAGGCCACAGCTCCTTTCTCATGCAGTGCCCTCTGCAGACCTGCAGGTCCCTCTAGCAGGGCTGACAGCCCTCTAGCATGTGCCGGAGGGAGGAAACTGGGGAGCACATCTTCTCCCAGAGAGGAGAAACTTCAGGCAACGGGAGGAGGTACGGCAAAGCAAAAGCATGTCAGGGCCATGCCAGGTTGCTCAGAGCAATGTGACAGAAGGCACAGGCCAGTATTCTGCAAACCAAGGTAGCTGTGGCAGCTGCAAATAATTTTTGTGTATTTCAAATCAGGAGATCAGCGTGGTGTTGGGGTATTGTCCTTCCCTAGTTGTGTTGTCTTCATGACAAAGCAGTGGCTCTTTATATAGTCCACACATTTCTATGCAGAATTATGGATTTCTTAAAGTGGTTGCCTTGAGTGGATGTATGCTTTGGTATCTTACCAAAGACTACACGTTTTTTCCTCATTTTGAATTTGAGAATTCAAGTTTTCATTTCAAACTATGATATGTTGTTATTGTCTTTGTTGATTTTCATCTCACTGTTTTGAGGCTCTTTCTGCAATTTAGCAGTGTTAAACCTTTGTTCAAATCTTTGCCTCCAAAGTGCCCAACTCAGTGTTAACTGAAGTGAAAGGTCAATTTCACCACTCAAGTCACTAATTAAAGTAATCAATCTTAGCAGACAGATCAGATCTCTTGGTTTGATAAATCTTCCTGTCTAGGACAGAAAAATATCCACTGCTACAGTGTTTTTCAATCACACAACCCTCTCACGTTAATACTATCTGAGACCTATTTGCCTTTATGAAAGTGGTGTTCAAGGCAATGTCAAAAGCCCTACTGAAGTCAAAATATGTTTCATCTATTCCTTTCAGCACCTACTAAGTCAGTTATCTCAGCAAAGAAATAAATTAGGTTACTTCAACATGATTTGTTATGGACAATGCATACTGCCTGTTTCTCATCACTTTATTGTTATTTAGTTGCATGCACACTGATTGCCGAACAGCTTGTTTCATTATCTTTCTAGATAACAAATGAAGGTTGGCTGGTTTACAACTCCTTGCTCAGCCCCTTTGATAAAGGTGGGTAGCCCATTTTCCCATTCAACTTCCACCTGGATCTTGCTCTTGAATGGCAGCATGTATTCTAGAAGAAAGAATTAGTCCCTCTAAGAGTCAAGATGCTGATTCAGACAGACCATGGGTCTTGGTCAGTGGAAGTGGCCTGGTATTCTTTTATGGTGTCAGGGGCCAGTGAGGGCTAGCTGCTTCCCAAGGGACAGGGAATCAAGCACCATAACACAGCCAGTAAAGCAGGGACCTCACTGGCCAGGGCCACATCCCACAGGATCTGAGCAAGGCGAGCAGGACAAGGCCTGGAGATGGCAGCTGGGGTCAACAGAGAGTCCAGATTGCCAGACAAGTCCATGGTGATGGGCTAGGTCTGAGGCAACTGGGGATGGACACAGCCCCGTGACTAGGAGGCAAATCCATAGCAGTGAGGCAGGTCCAGGTCTGGACAGGAAGGTGGTCAGCAGGTCCAGGTTGATGGATACAGGCACAGCTGTCTCACAGCTGTAGCTGCAGCTCAGGCAGGACCAAGCACTGGAGCCTCAGCTGAAATGCAGCTCCCATGGTAAGGGGGAGGTCAGCCCGCGCTGGCGTCTCCCACAGCCCTGCCTCCAAGGTCAATAGAGGGAAGGGGGGACAGCCCTAAGTTGTGCCATCTCTAGGCTGCCAATGAGTCCAGGGTGCCAGACCTCCAGGAGGGGGGATGATGCTCACAGGGCGCTTGCCTCTGGCGGTCTTGGGGGCACATACTTCCTAACATGGCCCATTTTTCCAGTATAAGAAAGCTCAGGGTTGTGAGTGTCTTGGGGAAAGAAGGAATTGTGATGAAACAGAGGCTCACGAGAGTGTGGTTTGGGGATTTTTTTTTTTTTATTTTTTCCCCTATATCACAAAAGTAAAAAATCTCATTGCTATCGGGAAAAAACACAGTAAAGAAATTACATTTCTCCTGGTAACCAGGGCTGCAGAAACATCCAGAATAGAGGAAAGATCTTCATTACAAAGAAATTCCCCACATCATACTAGCTTGGAAGAGGAATGAGAAAGAGTATAAAAGTATAACAAAACAAATTGTTTGGAAACCTGATGTTTTTAAATAACTGCTGTTTGAATATGTCATCTCCATCTTATGTAAGCTTCACTGTGAGTTAATAGATGCTGTAGATGCTCAGCTGGCTTCTGCAGATAACGCAACATTTTCAGTCTGCTGTAAATGCAGTATGAAGAACAACAAGAACTGAAAGGTAGACAGGTTTTTAAGACACCTGTTAGAACCTGCTCCTCATTTTCTTATAGGTGGCTAAAGTGTTTGAGAATAGGCTGGTTGAATGAAAATTTTCTCGGGCTTGTATTGTACTTGCTTGTATTAGGTATTTAACATTTATATTTGATTGTAATTAATAACAGCAGAGAGGTTTCAAAGTGGACAGTGTATTGATCTATTTGTGCCTTTATCGCTTTCTTCTTCAGTAGACCTTCTTCTTCAAGACAATTGAAAGCCACGTTAGGAGAGAATTCCAGATGAGCCCTTAATTTATGCTTTTGTGTTCCAAATTTTCAAATAAACAGTAATTAACCCAGTGCATTGCCTTGTGCACGTGCCTGGAATCAAGGATTTCTTTTACCACAGGCTGAACTCTGATGTTCAGTTTCAGGTTGCATATGGTATCTATGTTTAGTGCCTAGATGGAAACTGAAGTTCAGGTGCAACCTCCAGTATGAAAAAAAAAAAAAAGATTTAGCCACATTTGCAGCACTGAAGCAGAGATGATTGCTGACACTTTTTTTCTCCCCTCATAATTTCAATCTTTTTCTTTCTGTATCATATGCAATGCAATTCCTACTCTCAGCACATGAACCCTCTGTACTTTCACATGAATCTTTTTACAGTGATGTTGATAAGACCACAATTAGATTGATGAGGAACTTAAGCACTAGGAAATATTGGTGAAAGGGAATTTTTCTCTACAAGTAGGGAAAGAGTTTTGAACGAAAGGCTGATAAACCATATGTCTTCACTTTCCAGCTCCCACAGACAAAATATTAAGCCCACACTGTAACACAAAATTTTAACTCTTAACCCTTCAGAGTAATTTACATCTTGTCTCCACCTATGTGATAGGGGATTGGAGGATCTGTGGCATATTCATGGGGCAAGTCTATAGGAAATATATTACACTCATGTGAAAGCTAAATGTCTGGTTTAAGAACAGCTAGCTGCTTTGTAGAAGCTAGAAATTCCTTGCGGGTAGGGAGATACACCCTTCCTCAGTGGCACAGCTAATGCGATCCGTTTGTTGAAACAGAGTTAAGGGCCACTCTTTAATTTGATGTCGCCTTGATTTAATGGTTTGTGTGACATTCTGCTCTTAATCACCCATAATAGGATCTGAAATACATTATCGCATGGGGACATTTCCAGGGCTTCCTCAGACGGACATTGAGAGATGGATTGGGAGGGTATTTGAGTCAAGGAGGGATACTAATGAGTAAGAAGAAAAATTAAGGTGAGGCGTGGAAGACATGGTAGAGCGACATTGCTAGGAGCAGCTCATGCGGATTTTCCCGGTGGAGTATAAAGAGCCCCCGCCTCGCAAGGTTGGAGTTGCCGAGGCGCTGCTCTGTTTCGGCGGGTGAGGGGTGTCCCCTGCACCCCTGA